GAGCTCTGGAAGTGAGCTCTTCACAAGCTGTCACCCCTCCCAGACCTACAATCACATCAGGCCCATAACGTGCAAGACACTTGGTACGCGGGGAGAACAAATAAGGGGGTCGTAGTCGCTAGGGTACCAGAGGAGGGAATTCCGTGGGGGTCGTATTTTGAGAATTCATTGGAGCAGTCGATTTTGCGGGGGGTATCACACACTTAGCATTTCACATTTCAGGTTTTCTACATCTTCGAAGAGATTATCCAACTTTTCAAATTTCGCCTGCGATATTTTGTGGATTTTTGGAACATCGTTGACATTGTTACGCTGACGGTAAAATTCTTAGCTTTGAAAGACAAAAAAATAATCTCGAACCAGGAATATCGAGGGTCGTACTGCTTTGCTGCCAGGGTACAGTATCGTTGTGCGAGAACATGGGAAGGGGGGTCGTACCTGCGCTGGGCAGGGGTTTCATACTGTCTACTGACGTACCTACGTATGTGCATTTGAGAGAAATTGGCCGCGTTAGGGAAAAATCCCCTCTCCTCCTAGTTGGTGGCGCTGCCAAAGTTTTATACAACTACTGTTTCCGATAGTTGAAAATAGTTGTTGGTTTCTGAAGACCTCCCCTCGCTCGCTCGACGCAAAACCTTTAAGGAAAAATAGCAAATTTCGGGAAATTTCGGAGAAAACTGGTAGGAAGCTGGGAACATGTAGGAAAGTGGGAGGTAGGTGTTGGGGAAGGAGGCTGGGGTCGTACCGAGACCCTTTTCCAGGGTGGGGGGGTCGTACTGATACCACCATTTCACACAACACGATGCTGTACCCTGTTTGCTGCTGTTGTTCCCTCTGAAAAGCTTCCAGAAACGATGCTCAAATCATGAAAAATGAATTCGTCTTGAAAGCCTTGGCGAAAAGTGCATCAGGTACACAAATCACGCTGGCCCCACGAGCGACACAGCTGACCACTCTCTCTTCCTGATTGGTGCGCCTCTTGTCCTGCAAGGAGTGGAGAAGCAATGACGAATGATCAGTAATCAATTGTCTCCACCCATGCGCGCAGAGTAGATTGCTCTACTAACATTGCACTGGCAGTGATTGGGAAATCTTTACTGGTTGAGTCATAGCCGCGGGTTTTATTCTTCAAAGGCATGAACGGAAGGTTCAGCGTGAAACTTATCATGTGCGAAGACGCATTTTTGCTATCGACTCTTGATTTTCCTTACGAAACGCTATTTAACCTTCCAATAAAGTGCTAAAACTTGCCGCAATAGCAGTTCTCTAATCTCTGTTGGAAATTTCTCTTTAGTTATGCTGCTGCGAAGTTTATCTGAACTACAATCGCATCACAGTGGCCGCCAATCGCATAAATGCCGCTCTTGAAAGTGAGTCTGAATTTTTGTGGGGAACTTGGTGAACTTAACCAATTAATACAAAAATGTTCTTTCATTTTCACTGGAGCATAGCGCAAACATTTTTCGCAAAGCGGGTGGAATTCGAAAAATCCTGTACACGTTCCAGTTCAAGCAGGGGAAGATTCGGGGACTTGCACTCCCCGAGCCTAGGATTTTTTTTGATGACTGAATTTTTCCTGCTCCTCCCTAGTTGGTAGCTTTGTCTATACAACTATTACTTTTGATAGCTGCGTATGGTAGTTGCTTGGTGGCTACTTCCCTCACTCAGCGAGATTGTAGA